ATTCCTTATAAAATTTTTAATTTTTATATAAATGTTTATTTCCTTATAAAATTTAGAAAAGCAAAAAACAACAACAAACAGCATCAACGATAACAAAAATTTTTGTAGCAAGTGATTTGAAAAGTTGGTAACTGACTTATGTAGTTAATATTAGAGTGAACATGTTGACACTTCTGATTTCTTAGAAAGTGAGCAGAAACTAACAAATTGGACTATAAAATGTGTTTTTAATCATAACACTATTTTTAATTTAGGAAACAACATTGAGATTCTACAAGCAAAAAATACTTCATAATTGATAAAATATATATATATATATATATATATATATATATATTATCAATTATGTTTGAGTTATCAATGATCAGCCTACAGTGAAATGAAGCTAAATATAGTATATATATATATATATATATATATATATATATATATATATATATAAATATATAAAATATAGTATATATATAAAAATATAGTATATATATAAAATATAGTATATATACTATATATAGTATATATATATATATATATATATATATATATATATATATATATAATATTTAGCTTCACTTCACCGTAGGATGATCATTGATAACTCAAAACTACTGAAAATTCTAACATTTGTGATTTTTGTGTTATTCATTACTTGATATCTTTAAAGTAAAATAGGTTTTTTCTTTTAAAAAATATTTTATTGAGTTTTTACAGAGAGAAAGAGAAAGGGATAGAGAGTTAGAAACACCAATGAGAGACATTGGTTGATCTTTTACATCTCTCTCACATCCTCCCCTCTCTTCTCTCTGAGGTTTGACAGTCTGATTGATGCTTCTATGTCTCTGGATCTTTTTTTGTTAATCAGTTTGTGTTGTTCATTATATTCCACAAATGAGTGAGTGAGATCATGTGATACTTATCTTTCTCTGACTGGCTTATTTCGCTTAGCATAATGCTCTCCAGTTCCATCCATGCTGTTACAGATAGTAAGAATTCCTTCTTTTTTTACAGCAGTGTAGTATTCCATTGTGTAAATGTATCACTGTTTTTTAATCCACTCATTTGCTGGTGGGCATTTAGGCTGTTTCCAAATCTGACCTATTGTAAATTGCTATGAACATAGGGGTGCATATATTCTATCTGATTGATGCTTCTGATTTCTTGGGCCGTATTATTAGAAATTACTAGAAATGGAATTACTAGGTCAAAAGGGAGTTCCAGTTTTAATTTTTGAGAATCTTCATACTGTTTTCCACAGTGGTTGCACCAGTCTGCATTCCCACCAGCAGTGTATGAAGGTTCCTTTTACTTCACATCCTCGCTAGCACTGGTCTTTTTTTTTTTTTAATTTTGTTATTGATTTCAGAGAGGAAGGGAGAGGGAGAGAGAGAGAGATAGAAACATCAATGATGAGAAAGAATCATTGATTGGCTGCCTCCTGCACACCCTTACTGGGGATGGAGCCCACAAACCGGGCATATGCAGTTGGCTGGAATTGAACTGGGACCCTTGACGGTCTATCCACTGAGCCAAACAGGCTAGGACAGCACTTATCTTTTGTTGATTTATTGATAATAGCCATTCAGATAGATATGAGATGGTACCTCATTGTTTTGATTTGCATCTCTCAGATGATTCATGACTGAACATTTTTTCAACTATCTCTTGACATTCTGCATTTCTACTTTCAAAAAGTGTCTATTGAGGTCCTTTGCCCATATTTCGATTGGATTGTTTATCTTCCTTTTGTTAAGATGTATGAGTTTCCTATAAATTTTGGAGGTTAGGCCCTTATCGGATGTAACATTGCCAAATATGTTCTCCCATGCAGTGAGCTTTCTTGTTGTTTTGTTGACAGTTTCTTTTGCTGTGTAGAAGCTTTTCATTTTGATGTAGTCCCATTTGTTTATATTCTCTTTAGTTTCCATTGTCATAGGAGATGTATTTATAAAGATATTGCTATGAGATGTATCTGATATTTTGCTGCCAATGGATTCTTCTGATATTATTATAGTTTCCCATCCTATGTTTAAGGCTTTTATCAATTTTGAGTTTATTTTTGTATATGATACATCACAAAAATAAACTTTTTTGCATGTATCTGTCCACTTTTCCCAACACCATTTATTAAAATGCTTGTCTTGACTCCATTGTATGCTCATGCCTCCTTTGTCGAATATTAATTGAGCATAATGGCTTGGGTCAATATCAGGGTTCTTTGTTCTGTTCCATTGGTCTATTTGTCTGTTCTTTTGCCTGTACCAGGCAGTTTTGAGATCCGTGGCTTGGTAATATAGCTTGATATCTGGTATTGTGATCCCTCCAACTTTGTCCTTCTTTCTCAAGACTACTGTGGCTATTCAGGGACTTTTTAAATTCCAGATGAATTTTTGGAGATATTTTTCAAGATCTGTGAAATATGCAGTTGGTATTTTAATGGGGATTGCACTGAATCTATAGATTACTTTGGGTAGTATGTACATTTTAATGATATTGATTTTACCAATCCACAAACATGGTATATTCTTCCATTTGTTTAAATCTTCATCTCTCTTTTTCCAGAGTCTTGCAATTTTCCGAGCATAGGTCTTTTACCTCCTTAGTTAAGTTTATTTCTAGGTATCTTAATTTTTTTGTTGCAATGGTAAATGGGATTTTTTTTGTTTGTTAGTTTTTAGATTTTTTTTGGTTTCTCTTTCTGTTCTTTCATTATTCTTTCCCCCCATTGTGTACATATCTTACCAACCCCCCCACTCCCATACATGCCCTCCCTCCCTAGAGTTTTGCTTCCATTGGTTACGCTTATATGCATGCATACAAGTCCTTTGGTTCATCTCTTATCTCCCCCATATCTCCCTATCCTCCCCACTGTAATTTGACAGTCTGCTTGTTTCTTTACTGTCTCTGTATCTATCTTTTTGTTCATCAGTTTATAATGTTCCTTATTATCCATAAATGAGTGAGATCATGTGGTGTTTTTCTTTCATTGACTGGCTTATTTTACTCAGCATAATGTTCTCCAATCCCATCCAGGTTGCTGCAAATGATAAGAATTCCTTCTTTTTTATGGCAGCATAGTATTCCATTGTGTAGATGTACCATAGTCTGCTGAGGGGCACCTCGGCCATTTCCAAATCCTAGCTATTGTAAATTGTGCTGCTATGAACATAGGGTACATATATCCTTTTTAATTGGTGTTTCTAGTTTCTTAGAATATATTCCTAAGAGTGGGATTACTGGGTCAAATGGGAGTTCCATTTTCAGTTTTTTTGAGGAAACTCCATGCTGTTCTCCACAGTAGTTGCATCCTTCTGCATTTCCACCATCAGTGCAGGAGGGATCCTTCTTCTATGCACCCTCACCAACTTGTCGTTTGTTGATTTGTTGATGTTGGCCATTTTGACAAGTATGAGATGGTACCACATTGTCGTTTTGATTCCCATCTCTTGGATAATTAATGACTTCGAGCATATTTTCATGTGTCTCTCGGCCTTCCTTCTGACTTCTTTTGAAAAGGTTCTATTTAGGTCCGTTGCCCATTTCTTTTTTATTGGATCATTTATTATTGATCCTTTTATTAAGTTGTATAAGTTGCCTGTAGATGTTGAAGAGATAAGCCGAAGAACTTGTATGCATGCCTATAAGCATAACCATTGGAGGCAAAACACTGGGGGATGGGCATGCATGGGCGTGAGGTAGGGGAGGCAATGGTAAGATATGTATACATATAATACCTTAATAAAAAATGAGAACAAAACCCTAAAATTTTAATTCTATAAGGTTCTGTTTAAGAAGAAAAACAGAACTAGGGGTTTTGTGAGACCTGAAAGAAAGAGAAGTATCTATACCTTTTATTTTCCCTCTCTCACCCCTTGACCTTTACCACAAATTATAAAAAAATAACTATACTAAGTTTCAGACAAAAATAAATTCTGGCTTTCCCTCCCAAGAATTCCACTCCAGGATTCATGGAAAAGGACCACTGTAAGGCTAAATACAACTCAGATTTATGCATTTAAGCCAAGTAATTGGTGAGTCGGCCAAAATTTAAGTTTATTCTGAAGCATTAAATCAAAGAATTACAGGTTTGATTCCAACATTTTAGAGTGCCTTTAGTAGTTAGTTACAAATCAGTCACCTTCCTCTTCCCCTTGTAATCAATCTAGTCTATGTGACAGGAGAGAAGTAGTGTTAGGACATGGCCTAGAATGGTAAAAACAAGCCAAAGAATTGAAACGCTAAATTTCATTGTTAACAGCAATTCTGAGCAAAGAGGAATGATTAAAGAAGAAAAGGATGTGATCCAATAGAGAAGACACTTTGGAAGAGAAAGGAAATATTCAATTCATTGCAAAATTGGAAAGAGAAGAAATGGAAAAAGAAGGGGAGAAAATCTTATACCCTAAAGTTAAGCTAAATTCTAAGAGACATTTGATAGTGGGTTCTAAACTTGAAAAAAAAAATAACAATGGAAGAAGAGAAAAAAAGAGAGAAAAAACAAACTGAGCAAAGGTATCCACTCCTAGGCAGGGATCTGTGAGAAAGGTGGGAGATTCTATCTGTGAAGTGGGGCTGTGGCAAGAATGAGAGTCTGAGACAATAACTCGTGTGTTTTTAAACGTTGCGAACAATGAAGTTAACTTGGAGAAAAAAAGATTCCTTGTTAAATATACAAATAGCTTTCAATTCACCAGAATAACATTGAAATATATCAAGAAGAAATAAATGTAAATTATGCTTTCTAGATCAAGATAATTTTGGTTGACAAAATTACCATTTCTAGCACATCATTTACAGAAGTAGGAGAATATTCAGTTAAATGTAAACATTTTTATTAATAAAAGACAGATGTGATAACAGTGAAATAAGCAAATTTATTATACTGTATTTGGAAAAACATAAATGAAATGTCTTCCCTGATACGGCTAGCCTCCACTTAGTGTTTGCAAGGAAAGATTCCTTCAAGATGAAGCTAAATGAGGTTTGGTCTAAGACAGCACTTATCAACCTGTGGATCTTGATCCCTTTGGGCTTTGAACAACCCTTTCACAGAGGTTGCCTAAAACCATCAGAAAACACAGATATTTACATTACAATTCATAACAGTAGCAAAATTACAGTTATGAAGTAGCAACAAAAATAATTTTATGGTTGGGGCTCACCACAACATGAGGAACTGTATTAAAAGGTTGAGCCATTGGGAAGGTTGAGACCACTGGTCTAAGAGATAGGGAGGAAACAAAAATTAAATCAGTTTTCTCCTTTCTCTATGTAAAAGTCTATATAACTATTAATAAGGCTGGAACATTTCATTTTTACTTGACAGATTCTTCTATTCTCTTTATAGAAAAGAACTCGATGAATTCAATAGCCTTCTCAACAGATTCTAAATCATGACTACGTAGATTATCTTCCAGTAGCTGTGAGGAACACAGCATTTCCTAGAATATGGGAGGAGGGGGATTTTGAAGCAGACTAAAGGCAGTTTTCCCCAGCTCTCATGTAAGTTTTTAAGAGCCAGTTGGTCTGGTAAAAGTTGAGTTTGTTTATAGGAAAAATAAACACTGACACAATCAACAAGCTCCTTCTTTGGGAGGCTGCAGAGAAAATTGTTCTACAGATTAAGACAGTTCAGAAAACTTAAATTGGAATACAAGAGAACCCCTTTGGCATCCAGGTTTACCCCCAGAATTGTATTAATAAAATGATAAATCTCTGTTGGAGGAATTGAAAAATGTATACTCTAGAGGTAAAAAAATAAATAAAATTGATCTTTTATATAAATATCTTACACACATGATATTTTTAAAATAAGTTAAATGGGCCAGGAGACTTAGTGAATTGGGTTAAATGGCTCAATCACACTGACTAGATTGCTTGTTCTCTGACTTAACTGTGATGACATCTATATAAAGTCGTTTCACACAAATATTTAATTTAAAGTACTTTAATTAAAATAAAACAGCTAACCATTTTCCACATGTCCTGTAATTATGGCTGCCAAATAAAATTTCAGGGCATTAGCTACATTTGAATTTCAGATAAACAACTTTTTTTTTTTTTCAGATAAGAATGTCTGAAATATCACTTATGACATACTTAACCTAAAAAACCCCAGTTATTGTTTATTCAAAATATAACTGCTCATTCTAGTTTTTTTTATTTACTAAATTAAAAAATTTACTTATAACACAAAGAAAATAAAGTTCACAGACCACCTAGCTTTTTGTCAGCTGAATTCCTAGGGGGAACTTTAAGGTCAGGCTGCTCCTTAAGTTTCACACAGGAACTGAAACTGCAGCTCCCTAAAGTATGCTAAAAGAACATCTAACATGCAAGCTCTATTATAGTTTTGAGAGAAAAAATAAGGTTAAAGTAACAAGCTGGGTTTAACATTTACTAAAATTAATATAGGTTGCTTTATATAGTTTTTTTGTTTTGTTTTGTTAGTATTCTTATTTTGGTCTATTATTTGGTTAGTCAGAGTAGCATAAAGTTTTTATTTCATGTTACATATATACATGCTGATAGAATTTTTAGTTTGTTTGGCATATGGTTAAAATAAATAAATAATAGAAACCATAAAATTATTTCATGCTTGACTTCATTTCTGAAAGTTTCGGAGTAGGCTGTGGTTGTGCACCTATGAGGCTGTAATGTATAAAAAAGGTTTTTATTCCAGGCACCTGGGTGCAGGTGGGCAAGGTCCAGAAGGACATCAGCGAATACAGCAGGGAGGGGGGGGAAGGTTTTTATTAATTTTTTGCTGGCTGCAAGCCATACCTGCTGACGTAAGGGTCCGCTCCATCCTTGGTTCCTTCCAGTGTCAGATGGCTAGTGATTATCTTGGCTATGTGGTGCTCCAGGTTGCAAGCTTTCTGCAAGATACCTGCCAAGCTCAATAAGTTTTTCTTTGCCCTGTTTTATTCTCTTTAACCCTTTCATTCCTGTCTTAAAGGGTATATATAATGGAAAATAAGGTGAATGGGTCTGCCATATCTCTTTGTCTACTTCTTATGTGGGAGGGGCTATTGTGGCTGCCTCTGGAGTAAATTCAGATTATTTCCTGGGATACAGGCCTGTAAGGTCCCTTTACTTTGGTAAGGCTTTTTGGGGTGCGAGTGGACTTGCAGTAGATGACTGTCATTTGGGACAACTGGGCTTTATGAGAGGATGTCTGTACCATTGTGCTCAGGCAAGAAGAGTGGATAAGGAGTTATTTAGTAAGATGCAGTGTAGAAGTGAGGTGGATAATGGTTGTGAACCTAATTTGTCAACCCCCATTGAATTTGGAGAAGGCAGAATAAGTGGCTTCAGTGTCAATTAAGGAGATCAGCTTACCTGCCACCAAAATAATTACCTGAGGTTTTGTTCTGGTGATGTAAGTCTGTGGGGCCCTGTAAGGGCCTGGGCATCTTCAGTCTTCGATGGCCAGTCCCAGGAGGTCTGGGGGCTCCAAACCAGATCCAGAGGGTGGTCTTGCTGAGTTCTAACCTGGAAGGGCCTTACTATAGTCTGGTCTCCAGTGGCCTTCCCTCCCGCACATTGGGCAGGACCCAGGCCAGGTCTCGGGTTTGGGAAGGGCTTTGTCAGGGGTCCCCTCTTGTTGTATTTGAAGCATGGGCCCAGAGGAGGCTTAGGCTCTGCTTTACTCTTGGTTAGAGGACCAGCATTTCATTTGGGGTTCATGAGAGGGTGGCTAGGAGCTGTTCTTGTCAGGAGAGTGGGTGAGGGAATCTGGTTTCCCTAGAGGACTTGTCCTAATCAGCCCTGGATTACGGGGGGAAGAGGGAGGAGCGACCGTACAGTAACAGCCCAGAGCCTGGCTCTAAACCCAAAATGACAGGACAGTCTGGAGTGAAAACAGACTAAAGCCACTTACAAATCTATGCCTGGTGTTGGTGTAGAAAGAGACAAGGCAAGAAGAGAGGTTTGCTATCCAGTCATGAGCGGGCAAGACCCAGACCGGTCCAGAATAAGGCTAGGGGGGCCCAAGTGTTGTGAGTTCAGCAGAAATTCAGCCATGTGGGAGCATGGCTGGGGGATTCCCCAGACACAAGGGGAGCTCAGGAGCCAGGCGATCACGGTTTCTCTGAGTGCCAAGTGCGGTTGCTGGAACCTTGCAATGGCTCTTAGCAGACCCCTCACTAGACCTTCCTGAGTTTCAGCACCAAATGAAAGGTTTGGAGTGGGCCGGGATCACACACCTATGACATAAGGCTGGAATGTATCAAAAAGGTTTTTATTCCAGGCACCTGGGTGCAGATGGGCTGATAACATTGAAGGGCATCAGCGAAGAGATTAGGGAGAGATAGATTTTTATTAATTTTTGCTGGCTGCAAGCCGTTCCTGCTGACATGAGGATCCCTCCTTGGTCCCTTCTAGTGTCAGATGACTAGTGGTTATCTGTGCTATGTGGTGCTCCAGGTTGCAAGCTTTCTGCAAGATACCTGCCAAGCTCAATAAGTTTTTCTCTTCCCTGTTTTATTCTCTATAACCCTTTCAATTTTAAGTCAGTTATGAATATTAAACACTATCTAAACTTAAATGCAAAGTGTTTTTATTTGATGGAATTATGCCTTATATATTAAAAGGGTCATATTGGGTAACTAAAAAGAGAAGTCATCTGTCACCAGAATCATTCCAAAATGTATATGATCATTATGATTCTGCTATCCATCCTTTTCTCTTATTCATTTGCATTTTCTTAATCAAGTCTTTAATTATCTCTTATGTGTAACCTTCAAATATGTATTTTCTTTCTAAATGCTCTCCTAAGTTACAATCTCATTTTTCCAGTTGTCCACATAATATATCTCAGTTTATCAGCCTCAAAATCTTGAAGAAACTTTGACAGATCAACCTTCACAAAATTAACAAGTTTATTCACTAATTTTTTCCTTATAGAGAAACTTCAATAATTTCTGTATATGTAAATTTCTCTTTGGATTTCTTTTGTTTGGGGTTCTCTGCACTTCCTGGGCTTGTAAATATATTTATTTTGCCAGGTGGGAGAAGTTTTCTGTCATTATTTCTTCAAATAGGTTTTCAGTATCTTGCTCTCTATCTTTTTCTGTCACCCCCATATTTTGAATGTTGGCACACTTGAAGTTGTCCCAGAAGCTCCTTACACTATCTTCATATTTTTGCATTATTTTTTCTTTTTGCTTTTCTGATTGTTTTTTTTTTTGTTTGTTTGTTTGTGTTTTTTTTTTGTTTTTGTTTTTGTTTGGTTTTTTTTTTTTTTTTGCTTCTTTGTATTTCAAATCTTTGACCTGATTCCTGCAATCCTCTAGGCTGCTGTTGTATCTCTGTATATTATTTTTTATTTCAGTCCCTGTATGCTTAATTTCTAGTTCGCACTTTTTCATATCCTTAAGGGTCTCACTACATTTATTGGCCTTTTCTAGAAAATTTTTGAAAAACCTTATAACCATGGTTTTGAACTCTATTTCCAGTCGTTTGTCTTCCTCCATTTCTTTTGTTTGTGATCTGTTTCTTTGTCTCTGCATTTTGGCTGCTTCTCTGTGCTGATAGAGTGGCTTTGTGTGCTAGGTGTCCTATAGGGCTCAGTGGCTCAATCTCCCCAGTTACCTGAGGTGGACACTCTTGGTTCACTCCTTTGTGGGATATGTGCACAATCTTGTTGTAGTTCAGCCTTGATTTTTGCTGGTATCACTGAGGAATTGATCTCCAGGCCAATTGGCTGTGAGGATCAGCTGCGGCTACACTGGGAGAAACTCTGTGCTGGAGACACCCTTATGATACCAGACTTGCAAAAGTTTCTGTGCTCAGCTTGGATGGGGCAGAGTCTCAGGACTGAGCAGACAGCATTGATTTCCCATCAGCCCTGCCCTATGATGCTCCTGGGTCTCAGTGTCCCACAGTAATCACAAGTGCCTCTGAGAGAAAGCCGCCCTCAATTTTTGCCTATTTCCAGACAGTCCAGTTTCTCCCTGAATGAGTCTGAGTCCTCAGAGTCTCACTCAGAACGAGTTCACCACAGTCAGGTGCTTTTGTCTCCCTCCAGTTTGAGAAAGCCAGCCGTGTACTCAGTTGCCAGTCCTCTCTACGTGTGGGTCTCCATATCTCCCTTTTCTGCAGGTCCTCTGAGTCTCAGTGTGCTTTTCTTTTTTCTTCTAGTTGTAGAATTTCCACTCAGCCAGCTTTCCTGTGGTTCTGGATGATGTTTGTTTTGTCTTTTAGTTGTAGTTTTGA